AATACAAATATATATAATTATATCAAAAATATATATAAAAAAGAAGTATCACAAGGTTATACTAATCATAAAGCGCTATTCAGCTACTGTATATAATATTGGATTATCAGGCCCCCATGTAAACCAGAATATTTCACTGTCAGTGGTACTTCGTTTTTCACATTTCCCTTATCGAAGTCGAGCATGTAAATCAAGCCTGCACACTGCATATGTGTACCTACATATGTGTAACTACGTATGAGCTCACGTTTATAGGTTACTGTACCCGGATTAGACAGGATAAACAGGAATTACAACAAAATAATAACAAGCTGAATGGAGCTTGGAGATAAGGACTAATATACCTTTACGTAAATCCTCGTGGCATACTCGAGTGATTAGCAAACGATTCTCAGTGTAAATGGCCCCGACGTGTCTACGACGTATGTTGAAGTTTGTGCCAACACTAACCATAGATTACATTATCCTCTTCTCGTTCAAACAAAGCTCTTTGAGCACGGCGAATAGATGTTTCAATAACATTGCTATAGCAGTCGAATGTTAGAATGTTATTTCTGGCTTATTAACAACCTTAGAACGATAACGTGGTCCCTATGTTGAATATTCGTTATAAACTTTTTAATATCCATTGCCAGGGATTTTCAACGCTTTCTTAATTTAGAAAGATTAAAATTACACGGTACCGTCGTAAATTCTGTCCCTGATAAAGGAACTTTACGTAGCAAATAAATTAAAGTCGAGGCTAATCTCTTGATACCTTTGGTCTCCGTGGTTGCTACACGCAGCTGGGGTTCCACATCGCCAGCACCGCAGCTAATAAGAGGATAAATCGATTGTTGGGAATGATGAATAATTCCGAGGTTAAATTTTGCGTCTTGTTTCACTCCGAGTATTTAAGTATGAAAAAGATTAATGAGGATTAAACTGGGACAATACTAAAATCGATCCTGTTCTCATAATTCTACTCGCAGGCGCGATACTTTAATTCTCTAACGAAAATTCATAAGATCTATCTCTACTATTGCTAGAGAAGATTGGTCTATCACGCCTATAATGATCAATTAGATCAATGTTCCATAGCGATCCTTACCTAATACCAAATCCGTAGATACAATATTTTCCAGTGAATGACAGAAATTAGTCTAACTTATCTCTACAATCGTTCAGAGGAGACGAACCTATTACATCGTGATCCCATCAGACTCTCATCCTCTCATCTTCTTGTAAATTCCATAGATGTACAGAGTAAACGAAAAAGAACCCCGACGTGAAATCCCGCGAACAATCGAAACCCATTTGATCCACATCCTGCAGTACCCCTGTGACTCATTGCGACTAGGTTAGACCACAAGCAACAAACTCGGATCTCGAGTTCAAGAACCAGCTTTCCCTTACGATCGTATCGCAAACGCGTCGATGAAGACCTGACACGACCCTTCGGCAACGTTAGCCGCTACTTCATACCAAGTCCCGTGACAGGAGACTCGTTTCTCGATCGACAGACCGTGACCAGATTCGCTGAGGACCGAGGGTGTCAGCGGTGGACACGTGCGAACTGGATAGTGAGTATCGACAACAGAGACTGGTTCTCACAGGGAGATGAAATAAAAATGACCAGAGCATGGACGAAGCTTTTAATGGATCTAAAAACCGGTTGGCCGGGAATTACTCGGCCAGGCATCGAGGAACGATTCATGAGGCTCTATGATGTAGTTAGCCGCGCGCACCGCGCAAAGACGGATGGGAAAAATGCGTATGCAACGGTGTGTATGTTCGCGTGCCTCTGAATGTTAAGCAGACCTCGGGATTATGCAGGGGATTTAAGTATGCGCACCTGATCTCTACCTATGTGGCCAGGTTACGTGAAAATGTGCACATGAACGACTGTGCCAGGTTTCTAGTGTTCCTGGTGCTCAATGGCGTCCTTAACCCTTGGTTCAGGTGGGACTATGAAACAAGTTCTTTGCTAGGAGGTGTTCCTAGACGGGATCTATGGGTTTTTAATGGTGTGTCGATTCGTATGACGTATCATTGGATTTTTATAATTACTTTCGTAGATATTGTTACAGGCGGTCGATGAGTGGTTTAGGGAATATGCGTGGATCTATGAAGATATTTGAGGTGTGTTCAATATTGTTGTGGTTTTATTTTCTACATGGATTATGGAAATTGAAAGATACATGGTCGTAGTTCCTCAGAAGTAGTTCATTAATCATTCAATTTTGTTTATTCATGTATTCACGCAGGTAGTCAAGAGAAGCAAACGAGAGATGATACTTCCTGGAGAACTTTAAGCTGAATAAATTCTACTTTTGCATGTTTCAAAATTCATGCAATTTTCTTTCGAAGTATCAAAGAAAATTTATTATCATGTAGTTGGTAAATTGTTTCTTTGAAAGATTTTTTAGAAAATGTTCGAATGTTGGAGTTTTTGGAGAATTTTGATTAAATATTTGT